CTGCTATGGAAGTATCCAAAGTAAATAAACCTACAAGATTGTAAACAGGGAACCAGAGACATCAATTGATAAATGAGGACAACTACAAACCAAAAACAGGGGAAAAAATTGTGTTGTTACAGAACTTCTAAATGGTAGGGAAGTCAAGACAACTACAGATAGAATGGACTGTTCTAAACTTCGGAAGAAAACTATAAACCACAGGGTAACCTCAAAGAAAAATAATAAACCTTCACATCACAATAAAAAAGAGGACTAGCACAAATATTTAGCAAATACTAAAACAATAGCAATGAAGGAAGTGATAACATCATTCATAAACAAAATGAGCTCAGCACAGAAAATTATATGGAGCAAAGAAATCAATAACACAAAAAATCACCTAACAAAAATAACAGCAACAAATTCATACCTGTTGATAATTACATATCTGTCAAAGGACTTATCTCTAAGATTTATAGAAAACTCTAATGCCTCAACAGCAAAGGAATTAACCATCCAATTGAAAAATGGGCAGGAGACATGAAAAGACACCTCACCAAGGAGAATATTCAGGTGGTCAGCAAATACATGATGAGATGTTCACGATCATAGTCCATCAGAGAGATGCAAATCAAAACAACAATGAGATACCATCTCACCCCAGCACTGATATCAAGGTTCAACAAGACAGAAAATAACAAATGCTGGTGGGGATGTGGAAAGACTGGGACTCTCATACACTGCTGGTGGGACTGTGAAGTGATAAAACCGCTGTGGAAAGCAGTATGGCAATTCCTTAGGAAGCTGGAATAGGAGATACCATTTGACCCAGCAATCCCATTACCAGGTATATATCTTAGAGAAGTGAGAGCCAGGACAGGAACAGATATATGCACTCCCATGTTCATCACAGCAGTATTTACAATACCAAAAAGATGGAAACAACCTGCTCATCAATGGAAGAGTAGATGACCAAACTATAGTACACACACACAATGGAATGCTATGTAGCACTAAAGAATAATGTAGAATCTGCAAAACACCACATAACAAGGATGAACGTGGAGGACATTATGCTGAGTGAAATAAGTCAATCACAGGAGGACAAATATGGTATTAGTTCGTTGTTGTGGAGGGTCAAGCAAAGCTTTATATATGGAGGGAAACTCTTAGTTGCCAGGGTGGTAGGGGAGGGAAGGGAACACTGCAAAACAAACAAACAAAAAACATTGACCCATGTCACTTTAGTTTTGTGTATTTCACTGTACCTAAATTATACTTCAATAAAAGGTATTTAAAAAAAATGAAGAAATTGATGACTAATCCTCTCTGATGGAAAATGTCACCCATTTCCGAAAGACAGAACACTGTATAACCTGGAAAGTTTGAATTCCCACAATAGTCAACATCTCTTAGCACATTTTTAAGTTCCTTGTTTATAAAAGCAGGGGCAGTTCTTCATCCAAGGGTTAAACCAGCAAATTAATTAATTCAAGTAAAAATTTCAGTTATTAGGTATCTATCTGCTTGTCCTGTGAACAGCATATTAAATTTTCTCTAGCAGGCTTCTTCTCTAAGACTTCAACACAAACACTTGCATTATCTACAAGATGGGACAATTTCTTCTGAATATATAAGTTACATTTCTACTGAATCACATTCCATATACTGTCTTCATTATAGAAGCTCTGGTAGCGTAGTGCCTAAGATATCTGACTACTAACCAGAAGGCTGGTGGTTCAAACCCACCAGGCACTCCTCAGAAGGAAGGTTGGGCAAACTACTTCTGTAGTCATACTACCTTGGAAACCAAAGGAGGGGTCACTAATAAGTCAGACCTGACTCCATGGCAGTCAGTTTGGTTTGGTTTGGTTTTGTCTTCATTATAGTTGAGGCAGCCTATTTAAATAAAAAATTTCAACCAAATAAAGTTTTTTTAAAATCCACAATTCTTATTGTACAGTGTTCCTTTCTCAAAAAAATTTTCAGACCTCCAAAATATTTTTGTGAATGAGATATCATAAAAGAACATGGTATAGGGGTAAAGGAGACCCAGGGTCTAACCTCAGCTCTGCCACTAATTAAGGCTCTGACTTTCAACACCACACAACATTAGCACCACCTTCAGGGTTAGGCTACTTGATGTCAACCATTGCTTCAAGAGGAAAGATGGTTCCTAACACTGTATCTGGTTTACCAAAATACTATCCTGTCTTTGAATCCCTTCTCAACAGAGCCGCCCAGTTTAAAGAAGAGGTAAGACATCTGAGGCTCTTAAATTCTGCAAGGATCTCATTAGATTGGTGTGAAAAGCTATTGCCAAATTCCCTTGCAGTAAATGTTTTATTCTCTTCAATCAAGCACAATTTTCAACTCTCAAAGTAATAAAAGGCATGTGTCACATCCTGGTATATAGATCTATTAGAGTGACAGAGCCAGGCAGTATATATAGTATAATGGGTAAGAGTTCGGACCACTGAATCAGTAGATGTAGGTCTGAATCCTGGTTTCCCCACTTCCTAGCTACGTGATTTTGGTGCAAGTTGCTGAACCTCTCTAAATTTCATTTACAATATAGGTATAACAATATACATTTTACTTGTTTTACATATATAAGGATGCACTTGTAATAAAGATTAATGAGATAATGTACTAATGCTGACAGCAGAGAACTAGCACAGAAGCTGCTTAATAATGTTAGCTATTATTACCAACAACATTACCTCTCCTCATCATTACTACCCCTTCTCTTGGCATAAAAAAGCCTCCACTGGTAGTAAAGGTGTATGTGAAAGAAGGAAAAAAGAGCTAGAAGGAAGGTAGTAATTACTTTAAATAACAGTGGTGAAAACTTCCAGATATTTTGACTGAGACCTGTGAGAGGGTAGAGATTTAAAATTATAAATGAGACTAAAAGGCAAAGAAACAACATTGTGTACAGTGTTCTGTTTCCCTTACTTCAAATACACCAATTTTTTTTTCCTATGATGTGCCTGCTGTCACTAACTTTCTCACATTTGGACTTAAGTAAATCAATAATTCTGACACATTTCAGAAACATATTTAAATGAACATTTTCAGCTAGTCAGCCAAGAAAATGGCAAGGCCTTCATTCCTATCAGGTTATTAAAAATATGACAACAGTATAAACATGAACACAAGGGTATACAAATACTCTTGCATATCATGCATCTCAGGAAATCGTGAATACCACAATACCTAGCTTGTTGTTGTTAAGTGCCGTCGAGTCGGACCCGACTCATAGTGCCCCTTCTTGGGTTTCTGAGGCGGTATCACTACAGAAGTAGATTGCCCAAGCTTCCTTCTGAGGAGTGTTTATTAAATTTAGAAATTCAAGTCTTAAAGATCACAAAGTAATAAAGGGAAAACAGGTATTACCATAACACATTATAATTTACTATATTTGCTTTTTTCTTTACCAACAGAATAATCATGACAAACACCAATAAAGAGGTAAATATCAACAAATTCTGCAACCATATAGTGCAGCAGATCATCTTAAGGTAGAAATATCATAATTTCAAGCCATATTCTCAAGAACTTTCCTCTTACTTATTTAGGTCAAAGGCAAAATTCTACCTTTTCTTATTTTCCTTGTGTTGTTGTTGTTGTTATGTGCCGTCGAGTCGGACCTGACTCATAGTGACCCCTCCTTGGGTTTCTGACGCAGTATCACTACAGAAGTAGATTGCCCCTTCTTCCTTCCGAGGAGTGGCTGGTGGGTTTGAACCGCCAGCCTTCTGGTTAGCAGTCAAGTGCCTTAGGCACTATGCTACCAGAGCTCCATTCTCCTTACTAATTCTCTATTTAAAAAAACAAAACAACAACAACAAAAAAAAACCCACTGCCATCAAGTCGATTCCAACTCATGGTGACCCCTTTTGAGTTTCTTAGGTGTTACATTTTTACCCAGTCTTCCTTCTGTACAGTGGCTGGTGGTTTTGAACTGCCAACCTTCTGGTTAATAGTCAAATGTTGGTTTCTGAAAACTTGGGTGTCTCAGTCTCTTCTATTTTATGTACCCAGACTCTCACTTCAGTCTTCTAATCCATTTTTTCCTTCTCTGAGTCTTCTTCTAAGGCAATCACAGATTTTGTATAAGGTTACAGTATATATTCAGATGTGAAAACAGGCTTAGGCAAGTGCCTCCAACTTGTCCAAGGCTCCTAAGCTGGTTAGTGGTTAAGAATCAACTAAATTCCAGAACTGCTGATTTCCCATTCAAAGCTTTCTCTTTCCAACTTACCATATTTCCCTACAATATCCTCTTTTGCTTCCTTTCTTATAGACCATTTTAAAAATTATTCACTTGTTAATAAAATACTTGTATTTATCCCAAAGCAAGAATTCCCCTAAAACCAAATAACTGTTTTCAATTCTAACCATATTTAAATAGTTCCTGAATGGGTATCATCTACCATGAAGAATGACTTTATTTTTGTTTTACAGTTTTTTGTACTTGGTAATAAGTACAGAAATGGTAAAAGCTTACCCTTTAAACTTCCATTAGTATGAACATTTATATTTAAACACAGTCATTTAAAGGGTAGCTATTGTGCATATTACTAGAAAAAACAAAGATTATTAGAATATCTAGCCTTTATTTTAGGGATCTCTGGTAGCATAGTG